TATGCATAAAATAATGATCACATATCGATTGAGCTGTATGAAGAACGCTAGAGCTCTAATAAGGGCGAATGAACGGTCCGCGACAGACGCGTGCGGCGAATCGACTACCCAAAATCGTTCCTAACGCCCGTCTCCCACTCATTGCCAACCTAAAAGTAGTGACATTCACCAACAAAATTATTCGTTGTTGAATAAGGATATCATTCGTGCAAGTTCAAGCCCATCTTTTTTGCAGACTGTATTGAATGGATCGTGTTTTTTCAATGTCTCCAAAATGGGAACATCACTGTTCAACGAGGAGAGCGTCAAGTGTCGTCGATTCATCACAGCAGCACTGAACAAATTACTGTCATCGGTTAGCGAATCAGCTCGTTCTGATGTATTCTCGGCGTGCTGTGACTGGCTCGAATTACGAGGAGAAGAACAGGTGGACATTTAAATTATGAAATTTCTATAAGTTTTTTAAGTTCCAATGAACCTTCCTACGGGAATATTGCTGGCTGTTACTAAGGGCCATCTTACAAGCCACGTATTGACGGTTCATTGAGGTGAAATGCTACGAATGCTCTGATCATTGCCAGTTCGCAACGCTTCTTCTCCGGTGTTTCTTCATGTCTAGACGTCCATTTGTATACTTTAGGAAGGAGCTCGCTTTATTGGGATGGATTTGGTCGCTCAAATTAGTAAAGTTGAAGGTGAAGCATTTGCTTCCCGATTTTCTGCTATTCTTCCATCTCTACGGGCGATTATAACATCAGAGTCGCTGTGGTCTGATAATAGGTATGTCTTCAAACAGCCGATAAATTTTTCTGACCTCAACGGTTTTTCTTCAGCGAGCGGACAATTTCTGAATTCTGTTATGGTATGGCGTTAGTGTTACAGAATTTGGGCGCATCTGTTGGGGATATTCTCGCTTCGGAGGATTTCAGTGCAATTTTTGGTAAGTACCACGGAAGCCGTTATTATCGGTTTGCCCCTGTTTTAGCTGTACTCCTTTGACTGTCCTACTTTTATGTTGCCTTATTGAATGGGGTTCGAACCTTTCTAAGAATCTAAATTTTTTTTCCTAAATTTTTTGAATATTGACATTCAGGGAGATATTTTTTCTTCGCCAAAATTTCAACAACGTTATTGGATATGGATATCACCAAGAGATTTTAATTGCAGACGCTCTGGGACCTTTGATGAAGTGTGATGGATCCGAAATGGTCCGCTTATCCGCTGGATGCCTCATAGGACAATGCCTCAGTAAATACGACAGCGCTTTTTTCACTGTGGAACGATCAATCCAGATAATAAAGTGGTGCTGTTGGCAGTTGCGTGATAAGCTCTTAAATGAGCAAGTCGCCCTTCAGGTAGAATGCTTGTCCTGATTTTGTTGACTTATTCTCACTAACATGCTGATTTTTATTTACTTTTGATATTTGCCTTCTTACAGGCATCGAAGATTCTGATGGCCATTTCTCACCATTTGGATAAGGAGCAGTTTACTTCTTTGGTGGAGAAGCTGGCGAGCATTTGCCGTTTTGAGATTGTTCGTCAGCCCAATGAATCGTTGAAGGTATCTACTCTTCATGCTTCAGTTCTTGCCTTGAGCCTTCTATTGCCTATTTTTTGGTACGGCTCACCTACAATCTAGAGTTCTATTAATTACCGTGGGTACTTTTCATAAGGATAAGGGTAAAGTCTCAGGGCGTTAATCAATCCCGTTTGAGGGATGCGCCCACGCGTTCGAGTTCCATTCAGATTCGTAGTGGCGTAATGAATGGTATGTGCCCTATACAGTGGCTTGCGATGGCAAGCCGATGTCAAGTCAAGTGTTTTTATCCTCCCAGACGAGTCTAGTGCGAATGAAACGGCCCCGGAGGGATTAAAGACTAAGTTGGCCTAGATGGAAATCGATCCGAGATTCGAACACGTGACCATGTTTGAGTGAAGTGCGCCACCTGGCACTACACCAAAACCGCCCCTTCTTCTCATAATACCTAACATTCGCAATGCAGGAATGGAGTGTTGTTTAGAATAGATCACTGAAGTTGGGGCGAGGTGATGTTGTACCATTAATACACTACTACGCGTATGGTTCGGCCAAGGAATCATAATAGGAATATAAAAAAGAATATTTCTCCGCCGAGGCCAACAAGCCTTCCATTCCGGTCGCCAGAGTCGTTTGGCACGATAGACCTCAGACTGGTACACTTGCTGGTCATCGCAAGTCATTGTACGATCGAATATGCATCCAAGAATGACGCTACGATTCGAAGCCAAAGGGGGGTGGGGACGGTGCATGTCAAAATTTGTTTGATCAACGCCAGAAGTTTTTATCCTTATGTGTTTCCATAAATGACGTTCGAAGAACAGTAGTAAGAAAAATAACTATTCTTGACCTGTTGGATTTTCGAGAAACTAAATTTTTTTTCCAAAGAAGGTTGGAATATATTTTCAGCGCTCTACTTGCTTCAAAATGGCCGCTGCTCTTGTTATCCACGAAGAAGACTCTTCGAAAGTAGACGTCACAGCGAACCATTTCCTTCCTCTGCTGGTTCGTGAAATGAACAGGAAGTCGTCCAAAGGTACTGACTCAGAATTCACTCGCTGACGTTCTTTGTTCTTCTGTTTAACGGTTCCCTATTCGTTATCCTCAGGAATGTGGATTTCAACCATACATAGACCTAAAATCAAGACTGTATCGCCTACTTTAAGTCGTCTCAATGATGACTCCCATAATGTTAGAAACAGTTATATGATTGTAAGATGCGAGTTTCATTTTCAGATACCGAAGAGCTCTATTCTATGTCCATGGAAGTGGGTGAAGTTTTTAAATCGAAAATGGGCGAACAGCGATACGCAAATCAGCTGGCGGAATGCCAAAAAGCTGCGGTCATCAAAGCTGAACTACGGAAGCGGAAGGCTAAGGTGATTAAGCTGTTTTCAGTAAACATATTTTGCGCACTGCAAAATTTTTGTTTCTGCTCGAACTAGCTTAGTGGCTCGCGATTCAATCTACTGAATAACTAAAGCCTCGGGTTTTGAAGCTGATTGGTAGTTGCAAACATAAGCGCCTGTGGTAAATGCCGAAATTTTTCGTTCAGGTTTTTTTTTTTGAGTTTTTCTGGGGCTCTTGTTATCACATTGAACGGCTAGTGCCCTTTAGTTTGTCTCCACACAAATGAGTGCGTTTCGATATGGGTTCGCCAGCTTTGCTTTGTAACAATATCGTTCCTGAAAAAAAAAACATTCAAAAGTATAAAAAGTATATATCAAAATCTGCCGTTGCCAGCTGGAAAACGGCAGATTTTGATGTATGTGATAAACTGTGGCTTAACCGCTTCGAAGGCCTACAAGTAGTTGACGTCATTCTTTCTCTTGCTTGTTTTACAGATATCGCTTAGGGCGAAGACGGCTCGCGTATGGGACAGGGACCGAACCCAGATGTACTGAAGGCACAGTTCACAATAAAAGTGGTCTCTGGGTTTCTCTTTGGGCTAAACTTTGAACCCCAAGAATGGACTATCGAAAAGGGGATATGTCGGGTCGAAAAACGGTCTCAATAGGGCGTAACAACGGTCCCAATTAGCGGATTAGCTGACGTACACACCCAAATACGGACGAGTTTTTACGGCGTTGTTGATGCTGCAGTTGTTGCACCATAGGCACCGGGACGCACGCGTTGCAGGCCATTTACTGTAGGCAGCCATGCGCAATGGTGCCGCGACATAATACTCCTTGCTAGCAAATTTTGTCGTCACAGTCTCGTCCAACCACCAATTCTATTATTTTTTGAAGCTTCTATTCTCTGAAAACGCCGGTTTTCGCATTTTCCTTGCCACTTTTGCACTATTCTATACTATCGCTCTCACTATTCCACTAAAACTAGAATCCCCGAAAATATCGAGAACTGTGCCACGGGAAGCATTGATTTGTGCGACTGGCCTCCGCAACTCATTGTATCAGCCACATTTGCATATAAAACATCTCTGAATAGAAGTCAAATGCGCGCTCATCCTAAAAACTCCTAGGAATCCAAAAATCTTTACAAATACTGCTAAATTACCATAGTTGCGTCTGAAAAGGTTTTTCGGTCGAGTGTTGCATTTACATTGTTGATTGTTGTGGTGTTTTGCTGTGGCTTATGCCATCGCCGTATATGAGCCCAAATTTAGTTCAGTATGGCCTTTTTCAAGGGCGAAGGTGGTGTAATGGAAAGTGGCGCACTATATCACACGCACGGTCAGGGTTTGAATCCCGGATCGATGTCCGCCTAGGCTAACCAATCCTTCCATCCCTCAGGGGTCGGTAAATTGGTACCAGACTCGTCTGGGAGGATAAGAGCACTGACTTGTACATCGGCTGGCCACCGCAAGTCATTGTAAAGGCCGTGTATGCACTCATTACGCCACTACGATTCTGAATGGATGTCGAGTGCGGGGCATTCCTCAGACGGGATTGATTAACACCAA